ATGATGATGATGATGATGATAATGATGATGATGATGATGATGATGATGATGACAGAAGAAAACAAAAATGGCTCGATATATTATATATATGAATATTATATATATATATATATATATATATATATATATTATATATTTGTATGTACGCTGACGCGTACGTAAGACGAAGAAGAAAAACGTCTGTACGTTTCACGACGAAGAGGGTAGAGGAGCGCGATGCGAGATGTACTATTATCGATATTACACGCGAGAGCTGAGAGAAAAAGCGAAAACGATGAAAAAGAACGATGAAAGGAAGAAAGAGGAAAGGAACATCGACTTCACGAGATGTAGACGTATGTAAGCGTTTGTAATTAACGGTGTCTCTTTATTATGTAATTGTGTATATGCGCGCTCTGGAATTAATCGTATATTCGTGTGTATATATGATTCGGAGCAATTGCGTTCTCCGAACGGGGAAGCGCTGCCTGTTTCGCGATCGCGGATCAAACACGCGAGCATCAACGATAAATAATGAGTCTGCATCGCGTCGATCGAACAGCTTTTGTAAAATCCCGTGGACTCGTCCCTCGCATTGATTCGCGATCGAGAGAGAAAAAGAGGAGAATATTCAGATGGACGGTGCACGATCTGACGAATTAAGAAGTTAATTATTACGATTGAAGCAGTGTTTGAGAAGAACAAGCACATACACACGTACACGCGCGCACGCGCACACACATACACACACATACACACAGACAGACAGACAGACAGACACTTTAGACTTGTCGACCAACAGCGACGCGTTCACCTGGCTGAAACGACGTCCCCACATATCACTTGGAGAGTTTATTCAGGGCGAGTATTGCGAGTGTCGATCGCTCTCGCGCGATCCTAGCCGTAGACGGGATGATTAGTATGTCGCCGTCGAGCGTTTTACTTCGTTCGCGTTCTTCGCCTTACACGTCCTCCGGATCTCCTTTGGGAATCCCTGTCGAAAAATTGTGATCGTTCCAGGAATTCGAATGACGAAGAAATCCAACGTTTACATTCAACAGTCTCGTAATTCATCGAACAATTGCAATTCTCGGTAGGAGTTTCCGAACGATAGTTTATCAGACGGCGGATTTTTTTATGCAGACTCGCACGTTCGAGAATGTTAATTAATAAAAACTTGAAGAAACCTCGAGTGGCAAATATTATAGAAAG